TCATCTTTATACTTTTTTTCATAGTTAAAAAAAGTTGCAAAACATTTTAATTCGATTTCAATTTGACTTTTGGAACCAACCCATATATATACAAATCTGTAACACAACCGCCTCGCTTAGAATCAATTGTAGTCTTTCAAAACAACTCTCCCTTTTTTATATAAATTTCTTGATTACACTATTTTTTGACAGACATGGCCCGAGGATCTTTGTCAATTTATGATGTGGCTCTCGGGCGGGAAAGGTTGAAGACCCCTAATGTAAGCTATTGATTTGTAAGCTGGGAATTTATGCCAAGCACAGATCGATTACAGTATGATGCAGTATTAGTGTAAATCGCAAACTAATGAATTTATAATGTATCATAATCAATATCTGGTATATGCTAGCCATCTGCGGGCAGGTATTAATATATGCATTCAGTTTTATTTAATATGCTGTGGAATAGCTTTGAAATTTTGTATTCAAGCTCAGTTTATATAGAATACCGCGTCGAAAGAGGTATTTAGTTTTTCTATGCGTATATTTTTATTAGTTGTGACGAATATGTCTTAATTTAGTATTAGATAAAATAACACGCCGAACAAGTATTAATTTAGAATTCAAACAACAAAAATCAGCGTTATATTTGCAAATTTTCACAGGACTCGTTTCGTTGGTTTTACCGAACCATCATCCTCCGCTGCCAAAGCGCAAATGAATGAGATAAAATATACTGATTATATAAGATAAGATAAGAATGGCTAGAGAGGAGTTAAGCTACTGGCGCCATTTATTGATGAAACGAGAACTAAAACATAATTTCCTTAAGGGCTGAAGGCAAAGATTGATTGGAATTAGGGTCGTTAACTAGAACAGAAAGATTTTTTTTGAATGTGAAACGCCTCCAGAAAATCTAATTTACCAATGGAAGATGTTTTTTGAATAATTTTGGCCATTGAAAAATTGAAAGTGTGATTTTCGGACCAACAATGCTGGGCAACAGAGGACTTTCGTGTTTTCTTTTTTCTAACATATGCCTCATGTTCCTTAACGCAAAATTTTAAAGCTCTCTTAGTCTGGACAATGTAAATTAAATCATACTGGCAATGAATCCTGTAAATACCCCAGGAATTCATATCCGGAATGGGGTCCTTGAGTATGGAACTCGGAAATTTATTGATAAGAGAATAAACGACCGGAAAGTTAAATTTCTGTAAAATACGTGCAATTTTATAGCTAATTGATGGAAAGAAAGGAATGACAACATAATTCTTATAATCTTCTAAAACAAGAGTGTGTCTTTTGGTGTGTTGAGATGATAATTTTTTAACTGCTTGATTAATAATGTTGGGGGAAAAGCTCTTGTCAATAACTACTGCTTTTAAGTAATTTAGCTCATGATGAAGATCCAATTTGGAGGAGCAAACTTGAAGTAAAGCAAATATAATCAGTATAGCTTATCTCGTTAGATTGCGCTTTGACAGCTGAGGATGATGGTTCGGTAAAACCATCGAAACTAGTCCTGTGAAAATTTGCAAATATAACGCTGATTTTTGTTGTCTGAATTCTAAATTAATATAGTATGTTTATTATATCCAAGGCTCATTTGGGTGGTAAAAGAATTTTAAATAAGTACAATGCAATGCGGTTTTTTTTTCGGGGGATATGTGACTTTAGTTATTTCTTTAAATTTAAAATTAGATACAAAACAACAGTGAGCCTTTTTTTTTTTTTTTTTTTGTTATTTAATCAGGCAAAGTATTCTCATAGAACTTTTATATTTATGTATGGAAAACAATTAATATTTGAAAATATTTGTTCATGCATATTAGGTGATAGCGAAATTTTTTGATGAGGAATGGGTTTATCTCTTGACCATTTACTAATTCTCAACAACAAATAATTCATTACAACCGGAAAAAAATTCTTGCTATCAATAATCAAAAAATACTGGTCGATAACAAAGGAAGTAATTCTTTCGCAGGATGCTTCAATAATGTGTTCGCTTCCTCTTCATCCTTACACAGAATTTGTATCACTTTTCGATTTCACTGCTATGGTCTTATCTTACAAAAGATAAAATCTTTACTTTATGATGGGCCATTTTTGCAATAAATGACCATAAACAGAACTATTGTAAAATGTTTTAAGAATACTTGGGGACTTGGTCTTGGTAGTGACTCTAACTTCCACTTGCCTGCTTCTTTTCATTATCTTTTTCCCATCATCCCTTATCGATTTCAAAATTGAGTTTTTAGTTATCTTCCTTTGTTTTTTTATTTTTTTTTTTTTTAATGGTTCACCTATCATACAAATAATTGTGAGTGAGCAAGTGAGCTTCTTGACCTGGAAAAGTTTTAGTAGAAACTAACCATTAAAAATGTTTTTTTTTTTTTTTTTTTTATTATTATTATTATTTCTTCAACAAGGTTAGTTATGCACGTTTCCTGTTTTTGAAAGCGCCTGGGATTTATGTGCAGTATTTCTTTGATAAACCATATTCTGTGTAAAGATTTATTTATTTTTATTTAACAGTCAGTTTATGTTAAGTATCTTTACTGCCGTTCTCCCTTACCGTTTTTATGCCAGAATGCTAATTTTTAGTTTGCGTGTATTCAAATGAGGTAGAAAGAGATAGTATTTAAAGGAAGGATTTAGATTGTTTAGTCAGAACGTGTTCCGCCTGCTGAAGGCCACATTACTACAATTCTACTTTTGGCTTTGCGTGATTCTTCTAGTGCTTGTCTTACCGATATATAGATTTGAACCAATTTGCTTGTTATTCATTTCTATGTAGCCTTTGGCTAACTTAAGATTTAGTTTTAAATCTGAATTCGTTACTTTTTGAGTTACGCCATAGATGCTGGCTGGTTTTGAAAGCACAAGAAGTGCCATCTGTTGAATTCTTTTGAGTTCTTAATAAAAGGGTCTTTTAAACCCTTCTTAAGTCTTGTTTCATCTTAGATATAGCGAAAGTCGCCTACACGTCTATTTAAGGATTTGCCACATGTTACACTTAGTTGCAGGTACAATCCCTACATCTGTATTTCATTTCCAGGTTGAAATCTGTGATTTTTCACGTTCTTTTTAATAACTAGCGGACACTCAGTTTTCAAATTATCCTCTGGGCCTCAATCTCAGCACTTTATTTGGTTGTTTCAGCCACTTCTGCAAGTTATCTATAGTGTGTGTGTGTGTGTATGTTAATGATGGTTTTTATGTGTATTTGTTCTTGAGTTACAAGACCCTAAACTTGTGATAATCCACTTTGTCACAACTCCAGCTTTGTATTCAATTGTTTTTACGCATTCGAATGATTACACTTCCGACTGAAGATTCAAATTTTCTACCTAATTCCTCTAGAACTGTTACTGTTATACAGTGTTTTCGTCAAGATTCACTCGCCGGAATTTGCTATGACTTCCGAGCTTATACTTTCTTCATAAGGAAATACCTCAAGTGAATCTCTGTTCAAGGAGCTTCTTTGCTTTAGCTTTCTCTCTTCTGCCCTGGAATTGTCTGAAGAATTTGAAATTGTCAACTATGTGCTCTATCGTCTTGATCGCAGGAGAATCAACCGTCACCCTGGAGGGGGGTTAATTATCCTAATTAAGCGCTCCATTGCCCACTACCAAACAACACTGCCACAGCTTTCAGGCCTGGAAGCCCTAGCTAGCACAGTCACACCACTCACCACACGACCAGTCACTTTTATCTCTGCCTATGTCCCTTCTAACAAAAGATCACATGTAAACATTGTGCAAGATTTTGACGCACTTACTAAACTCAACAGTAAAGTCATCATAGGTGGAGATTTTAATGCAAAACACCGTGCGTGGAACTGCACTCACAACACTTCCTTGGAAACGTGATACACCGCTTCGCTACTAAGGCCGGTATCACTATTGCAGCTCCACAAACCCCAACACGTACGACGAAAGGTCTGCCTCGATCCTTGACTTTTTTTTTGCTCAAGGGCTGTACTTTTAAATCCGTTGACAGCTTGAATGAATTGTTATCGGACCATAATCCAGTTCTAATCGATCTTGACCTTACCGTCTGTAACACACCACACAAAAAGGCCTTTATTACTAATTGGTCTGGATATACCAAAGCCTTAAACAACACCACAATACACATTCCAACAGCACAAACAGGCGATGAGTTAGATGCTATAGTCAGTGACTTCACCACTCAGCTTCAGAATGCCCTGAAAGACAATAGCAAACCTATATGTGATAGTAATAAAATCAAACCAAACAACGAAATCAAACGACTTATTCAAAGAAGGAATGCTGCAAGGAGAGAGTGGCAGCGATCAAGATACCCTCCCGATAGAGCACTACTCAACCAGCTTAACCGCCAGGTCAGGGCCCTTACACGTAAACAAACAGACCACGACTGGGCCGTTTACCTTCCTTCACTCTCCCCGGATGAAGATAATATTTGGAAAGCTACCAACCAGCTTCTGAGATGCCACACAAACATTCCGCCCCTTACTGGCCCTCAAGGAATTGCCTACACCGATACTGAGAAAGCTGAGTCACTCGCTGATCACTATGCTACTCAGTTCTGCACTAACAACATATCCCACTCTCAAACAGAACACCTTGTATCACAAACACTAACAAAGTTCCTCTCAAAACCACGCACAACCAACACTCCTCCTGTCAGGCCTTCAGAGGTCTTTGAATACATCACAAAACTCAAGACCAAGAAAAGTCCTGGACTCGACTCTGTGAGCAACAAGAATGCTAAAAAATATGGGAACCCTCATGATCCTAAAACTTACAAAAATCATCAAATGGTATGCTGTACACCTGGGGCACTTTCCTTCGCCATGGAAGACTGCTGTCATATCACCCAATTCATCAAGCCTGGAAAACCTATCACAGACCCTGTGTCATACAGGCCATCAGTCTACTGTTATCATCGACAAGCAAAGTAGCTGAATTCTTCATACAGCAACGTTTACTACAGCACCTAAATGAAAATAATCTAATCATCAAATGAACAACATGGCTTCAGGAAAAAGCTGCACTCTACGACACCACCAACTCTACAGAGTTACTGAACTGGTGTCTCAAGGCCTGCAGGACAAGTCCATCACAGGAGCTATTTTTCTTGATGTTTCCAAGGCCTTTGACAGAGTCTGGCTGGAGGGCCTCATATACAAAATCATTAACCTGGGCTTCCCAGATTACATCACACACATCACACACTTACCTTATGGGTCGACACTTTGTCGTTCGTGTTAACAACACATCTCTACCCATCTCTACCCCCAGGCCTATCAGGGCTGGGGTCCCACAGGGGTCCATTTTGGGCCCGCTCTACTTCAATATTTACACGAACGATATCCCACTCACACCACCCTAGCAATACGGCAATTCTATCACAAAACGCATCTCACGGCTCAGTCATACAACAGCTACAAAACCACATTCACACACTGGAGTCCTGGCTAACGGCATGGAAAATTAGTATCAATGTGGAAAAGTCAGATGCCATCCTCTTCACGAGGAAAAAAAAACATAGATTATGACATCCACATTAAAATGTATGGCACGCCCATCCCCTGGACCAAGCTGGCCCAATACCTAGGTGTCACATTAGACCAAACTCTCACATGGACCCCTCACATTACAAAACTTCTTGCAAAGTTCCGGGTTCGTAAAGCTACACTTGCCCCCTTAATTGCCCGGAAACAGCGTTTCTCTCTATTGATAACAAATTAACTCATTTATAAAGCCATGTTACGTTCCATCATCACTCATGCCTGCCCTGTCTGGGGGTATACATATTTTGATTCACTCATTATACAAAAACTGCAAGTGTTACAGAATATTGTGCTAAGAACAAGCGGCGGGTTGTCCGTGGTTTATTAAGAAACGCGGCAATCCACCGTGAATTTTAATATACCATATCTAAAGGAATATATGGCCACTCTGGCCGTCAGATTTTATCAAAAAATTTCCACTGTCTGTAATCCCACCATCCCTGTATTGAATTATAATTATAATAGCCAGGCCTTCAAAAAAGGCCCTCGGGCCGTACTGAGACATCTTATATAACCTGTTGTTTCCAACTAATGTTTTCTTTATGTACAATATTTCTGATTTGTAATTGTAAATATTTAAATTCACAAATTACCACCATGTTTATTATATTATACTATTTTTTTTTTCATTTCTGCCTGTATGTACTAATTTCTCGCTATGCTTATAATTTTGTGTGTTGTAAAATATGTGTGTCACACTGAACTCTCTGGACTTGGTTGCAAAAGGCGTCTCTTTTTCTTACTCCGCACTTGCCCTCGCCCGATGGGGCGTGTTAGCCACCGCGGTGGCCAGTCTCTTGGGATCTTCACCAGATTATGCCATCTTCACGTATGATCATACCTGCTCCAAATTAGGAACTGTATTTGATCGAAAATCGTTTAGTCAGATATACTAGGGTAGCGCTTCACGCGCGGGTACCTGACTGCAACGTACTAACGTACTGTCGCTTGATCCGAAGAATGTAGTCAGATTCCCTTTGCTTGTCATCTGAGATGCTTTGATAAATGTATGCCTTTCATTCAGAGATCAAATTTTAGGTTGGCATACTGTGATATCCCAGATGATCTTAAGTTGTATGGTAACAGTTTTATTGGTGGTTAGGAAAAGAGGCCTGGGCTTGTTTAATAAGTGACCTGCCAACACTTTGATTTGCTGTTATCTGCTATAATTTTAAAATTTCTTTGTTAATTATACGCAACTCCTCATCGAAAGTGGATTTTACATCGCTTCCGTCTCCATTAACTCCTTTTTCAATTAATTCAACTTCCTTTTCAACTAACAGTAAATAATAGTTTAATGCCATTATGACATTTTTTAGTATCATTAAGGCTGACCTAGGCATCTACATAGATCTTTATTAATTTTCCATCTCAGCCATAAAATAATGACAGTTAATTTTCTTAATGACTTTAACATAGGAATTGCAGTCTGGCACACCTATAATAGTTTTTAAGTTTTCTTCTGTTTTTAAACAGAACAGCTTAATAAATATTTCGTTTCTCAAACCAACTTTTATGTTTTCAGTTTATTTTTATTATTACGAAACTCTCTTCCGTAGCTGACTGTTTGCTAACTACTTCAGCGTATCTTTATTATGTCAGAAACATTTCTACGATCATTTTTAAAAATCTTATATCATCTTTAACATCAACTGCCATAATTTGTTCGAAAGTAAAAGAATTTTTTCACATAAAAAGCTTAACAAAATGTGGATCTCTTTTGTTCGCACTTGTTGAAGTTCTCCTCGAATACATAATACAAGCAACTAACATTCTTGAGTTGACTAAATTTATGAGTCATATTTGTTTTTCTTTATTTTATATAACTACATATTTGTTTTTCTTTCTGTTATATAGGTAGGAGTTATTAATGGTATTTATTTAGCTTTTGAATATATGGGCATCGATAAGGGAGGATCTGGCGGTACCGTCATTAATACTGGATCCAATGCAGGTAATACCTAATTTCTAATGGAAATAAAATTGTTTGTTTATTCACTTCTAAGATACGGTTAGAAACTTGTGGAATTTTTGTTTCAATAATGTAATTAATGAGACCCATTAAGATAAATTTTATTTTGATAATTTATTATTAAAGAACAAGAATACCCGAAGAAAAGTTTTGCCTTCTTTCTCTCGGGTTTCCGAACGAAAGGTGGCAGACAACTGCTTCACTTGAACAACCTCCCTTGTATCCGATTATAAATGCCGTTTACCACGGTCACATTTCCGTGTGGAACGAAACACAGCACAGTGGCATGCAGTGTTTCATGCATTTTAAAATGTTTTGACTAACTGCAGACCGACTTTTCTACACTGCAATTCTACGTTACTAATTATTCCACGTTATTAATTCCACGTTTAAAATTAAGAGAATTTTCACATTTGACCGATTATATCCAGAACAGGTGAACAGATTTTAATGAAATTTAATATGAACATAGGTTAATACAAAGTAGAACTTAGGATCACGAACGCCTGTCATCACGAGCATCAGTTGACAAAAAATAAAAAACGCCTCAGATTACGAATGGTATGTCGAATTACGAACACTCAAGTCGGCAATAAATGATTTTTAAAGGTATTCCGAAGCAGTCTCGAACGCTGAATTAACCCTCAGAGTCTTCTAGAAATATTATTTTAACATTTTCTGTTGTTTATCTGTGGTAGCAAGTGACTTACAGGAACAGAATTCATCCTGGAGGAAATTACGACCAGATTATGTTGCAGGTAGAAATTTTGAAGACTTTGATACTGAAAGCCTTTTTTGTTATTTATGATATTTTGTTTCTGAAAGATAGCAAATGGAGACACAGAAGAGTTACTAGAGGACCATAAAATGAGTTCAGTAGAAAAGAACTCAATAATTTCAGGAGCAGCCTCCCTCCCTCCCCCAAAAAAGGATGATTGTGGAGAAAGTCCTTCCATGGGAAGAGGAAAGAAGAAAAGATCTACTTCTCTGATCTGCGAAATTTGTGAAAATGGGGCAAGATGAAAAGTTTCACGTAAGGGTACCTGACAAAGCAGGAGCAAACTGTAGCATTATCATTTATAATGATCATGTGATGTTCTTACTTTAGAAACATTTTAAAATGTAGGCAGCTACAAATCACATTTGACAAATTTCAAGTGAAACGGAAACTAGCAAATTTCAAAGGAGTCGAGTGACCACTAAGCAATGTGACTAAACGATGACTACCAAAAGATATAAGAAAATATCTTAAAAAGACAATTACCCGATATTTTTCATGAAAGACAACTTCCTCTATGACGTCCACCCCACTTCGTACGACTCTGGTAAAATTACATGAAAAATTCGTATCTGCTTATATCGTGCTTAATTTTTTACTTCCTTGTACGAAGCAAAGGAAACATTGTAATCATGAAAAATTTCGGGTATCATATTTCAACAGAAATATCCATTTTAACCGTTTCGAATCGATTTGGACGAATTTTTTCTTGAAGTCTGTACGGAAGAACATAATAAATGTCTCGTTTTTCCAAAACGGATTCAAAAGGGATTTTTTACTTCCTTGTAAAGTAAAGGAAGTATTGTAAACGCGAAAAATTTCGTATATCATAATTCAACGAAAATATCCATTTTGACCGTTCTCGAATCCATTTGAACGCAGTTTTTGCGTGACATCTGTACGTACGAACAGAATAAAGGACTGTTTTTGATGTTCGGTGGTTAATGTTAACATTAATTAATGGTTAATATTAAATTTAATCTAATTTAAATTAAATTTTCCTTATTCCAGATGGACATCTTTTTTATCATTCTAATTTTTCTTTAAAACCTATGAGGTATAGCATTTTAGATATTATTAAGGGGAGGTATTTGTGGTATATGTTGTACTATTTATGTTAGTAAAATAAATATGTTTTAAATATTTAATACAAGCAAAGTTTATTTGCATGACTTGCAATAATATTTAAGTAATAAATTAGCAATATAATTCTAATTTGAAGGCTTCTGAGTCTTGGGTTCGACAGTACAATGTTCTTGAATCTTGGGTTCAAGTAGAACAATGTAATTCTGTTCTTACAATAAAAGGTTTAAAGTAATCGTTAAAGTAATTCTTTAATTTAATGTTGGTATCTGATGCCCTGTAGGACGATTTTAAAATCCTGTACCGTTTTTCATTATAGCATTTGAACCTATTCCTTTGGCACCTGTTTACAGTGGATGTAAGCATGGCGTTATTGGTTTAACAAGAAACTATGGCGTAAGTAAATTTTTTAAACTAACTTTTTTTTTTGTCACTTCATGACGGATAATATAAGATCGTTGAAAAAGATGGACCTGATTTTAAACAGTTCTATTAGGAAGAGTATTTGAGGCATTCTGAAAGCTTTCGGATTTTATATTCTTTAACGTTTTGGGCTTTACCTTTACTTACTAAATATCATGTTCTTCGCACTTAAAACTCATAAAATTCAGTTCAACCGCAATATCACAAAATATTTAAAATCAGCACATCTTTAGAATTTCCGATAGACAGTCTCGCTCGCTGGAGATAAAAATGTTATTTGCCGTACTGTGTTGCTATTGCTCGCTTTGAGACTTTATTAATCAGAAATTTGTTAGAGTTTTACAAAATATGAAGTAGATAATAAAACAAAGTCGGGATTCAAAATTCGGGCGTCCAGGTGCTCATGTTCGGGTGGAGGAAACGACGGTACCTAGAGCCATCAAATTACGTTATTTATAATTTGATGGCTCTAGGTACTGTCGTTTTTTCATAGTGGAGAAACATACATACATTCATGCAGATTCTTCTTTATTTATCTTTTCTAAATATAATACAGGGCGATAATATTTGGTGGTAACAATTTGAAAAAGTGAAACGGACATTTGCAGTGAAACAACGCAAATACTGGTTCGAAACTAATAGCCCTTCTGGGCTACCGCCCCTTTGGCCTAATAAAGTGTAGAATTAATATTTTCATTGTTTTTAATTTGCAACTATAATTGAAAACGGAAGAATAGTGAATATACACATACAATTTTGAATTATCATGTACGCATAGATCACCCATGTGTACTATGTAGCACCGAATATGATTTTTATCAATTATTATGATGACATTTCTTTGTATTATTTAAAAATAATAACTTTTATATTCTGTAAAAATCTTTAAAATTGATTGTTTAAAACTTTTTATTTATTTATTCTTATTATTATTTGTGCTGAAGCCAGTCCACCTTCGAATTACGGCCCCTATACATTTGCTTTAGTTGTCTATTGGTTAATGAGGCACGACGTTTCAACAATGATAATAAAAGTTCTGGGTACCACAACGCTATGCCTTTTTGTTGCATGGTCGTCATGCGAACTGATTGGTTAAAGTGATAATTTACTACTGAACAAAGCTCTTATATATGTGAAGGTTACTTGATATGGCTTTAAAGTCAAAATCTGGGCGTTTTCTAATTATTTAGTGTGAAAGTTAAGAATATTGATTTAAGAATAAGCATAATATGATATAGTGACTTTAAATCAGGCTCACCTTATTCGATAAGTCTGTATAACTTTCAATTTAGTTTAATTATACATAGTTTATAATTTACGCTTACAACAAGAAGTAACGGAAGGAAATACGATGCTTGCTTTATTCATTCTTTCTCCCCCCCCCTTTCTTTTAAAAAACCTTGACATTTATACATTGCGTCCGTAAAGTCATGGTGCACTTTTGATCGGTCACAGGAAAGCAACAAAATAAGATAGAAATGTGAAATCTTCACCAAACTCTCTTAAACCACTTTCATACCTATTCAGTGCAGTTCGATGTGGTCTCCATACATGCCGTCACAGTCTACTCTTCAAAGCAAAATGGTCCTATCTCTTTATCATGCATCAGGCCACATTACACGTTCACTTTAGGGCTGTCACGTTCGTACTCTACGTTGGCATGAGGATTTTCTTCAGCCCATATTCGGATGTTATGGCGATGAACATGTCCACTAACGTGGAATTTCGCCTCATCGCTAAACACAATCTTCTGCAGAAATCGGTTATCATTGTCGATCTCATGAAGCATATCTGTAGCAAACGTGAATCGTTTAGGTCTATCCGTCGGTTTGATAGCGTACAACAGCTGCAGTTTGTAAGGGCTTCTTAGGTAACTCTGCCATATAGCCTGTACAAACTCGTCACTGACCGATGGCCTGCCAAAACGGGGTTTGTTCAACAAACTGGTGGTATCCTTCAACTGCTTATCCCACAGATTAATGTTATTCCTATGCGGTGGCGGTTCGTTGTACACGCGACGATATTCAAGTTACACTTTGGTCACTGATTCGAATTTGAGAAGCAACTGAACACCCTGAACTTTCCTCTGTACGGTCCACATCTTGATTGGCATGGGCAGATCTACTGCTTCATAGTTTGCGGTGTTGCGTCATCACTTGTGTGCGCACATGCTTGTACATCATACTACGGAAACTTGGAGAGTTTTCCTTTTGTTTGGTGAAGATTTCACATTTCTATCTTCTTTTATTGCCTTCCTGTGACCGATCAAAAGTGCACCATGACTTTACTGACACACTATATTTAATACTGCGTCCTTTTGCGCTTGTAGCAGCCGGATACAGCCGGCTCCCTTAAGAAGACCTCCACGGTGAATCCCTTCCTTTCCGTGTAGTGCGTAATGATGGAGCACATGATAAAAAAATATTACTTTCCGAAAAATTCTGTCAATCGAAAATGCATCACAGTGTCATTCAGTAAAAAGAACTTCTTTTAAATCACCCCGCTCTTTTTTTTTTTCGGGGGGGGGGGGCAAGTGATCAGCAAAGTTTGTTTCTAGGTCAGGATCTTCAGATGTGTAATGGGGCAGCAGGCCGCACACATTGTGTTTTATAAAATCAATATTTATTTAGCAACCAATTTTTGCATAACAGCTATTTCATATTTAATATTTACATTTGCTTCGAGTTACCTCTGTAAGCGATTTTCAGATAAATAGCCGAGCCCAAATGTAAATTTACATAATTAAAAACGCAGTTTGAAATACATTTTCTAGTAAAGTGATGATGACCTTAAAATTTAATGATTATACAATTTATTGAGAACATTAAAATATGCAACATATTAATATTTAAGACAACATAAGTTGCTGAAAATTAAAAAATAATGCAAGTTAATGAGAATACTCTGTTCACTCATGAAAAGTAAAAACTTCAACAGTCTGTTTTTAAATATTATTCTGCACGCTCAATGTACATTCTCAGAAAAACATATATACATGAGGAAGGTTAATAATAATAACAAATTTTGCTGACCTTGCTACATGCCACAGGAAGGGATCTCAATGGCCACGTACAGCCCGTTGTCTTCCAGTCAGTAATCAATGACTTTGAATAGTGCTGCATGCTGCAGTTTCATGGAGATATTTTTAATAACTGCTCCATGCGAACAGAAAGGAATTAATGACAGTCCATACAGTAAATACAGTACTGAAATTAATAACGGTTCATATGGTAGGTTAAATATTCTCCATAACTCGCACGCACGACTCTGAACTGATTAACTGAACTGACTATCAAAGCAATTAAGATTTAAAAAAACGCAGATAATAACAATAACAAGCGTAAGCTCAAGACCCTTTTGAACTAGGATCAGCCGTGATTTTATACAACTTCACTTTCTTGACGAAATAACACATGGCCTGAGGCTTCGCACTATACGTTTTCTTAGAAAAGGATAGTAAATTTGCTTGCTTAGAAAAGTGCTTGTTGAATACGGCCACTTAAAATAAAACCAGGTAGCAAGGAGTGCATTGCTTATTAATTATTAATTGATATTTGCAGTTAGATTTAGTTGAAAATTTACAATTTATTGTTTGATTACATGCTGTAAATTTTGTTTTCTTTTAGTCTGTAAAACTCAGCTGAAGTTTAAAATAAATGCAACTTGCCTTAGCTTTAAAAGTTTGTGCCTTTGGTTTACTATCCAAAGCTTTAACGTGCTAAAAATAAGAATAAGGGCTAAAGTTAGGAAAGATAACTTTTATTATTATTTTTGTACGAGAAAAGTTATCAAATTCTTCCATGGCCAGGCAAAATAATTTTATGATTATTTCACTTTTAGATGGGAACTGCAATATATTGAATATGTTCAGAAAATTTTGTATGCATTCTTATATTCTTTCATAGACCGATTATCATTTTAAAAAGACTGGAGTTACTGTAAGTTCTGTGTGTCCTGGACCTGTTGATACCGAATTATTTCATGAGTTTCCTGCAATGAGTGTGGACGAAGAAGTTGCAGAAGAACACAATAAGCGTGTGAAGCCAATAAAGTAAGAGCATTATACTTTACATAAATATGTATGCTATAGTGAAAACTGAATTAAAGTTACAAATGTCTGTTATATAAAAGTTTATGTTAGATTGAAAAAACTTGCTAATTGTTTACAATCGTTACTCCTAAAATGTTTGCAATTAATACTCTAAACTGAGCTTTTCTCGTAGCTAAACTAAATCCCTTTCGCATGATCTGCTGGCCTCTCCTGAGGCGGTGGATTGCTGGTAGTAGATTTCTCCGCGGGCTGAATATTATTCTGATAGGAATCCTTAGGTCGGAAGTTCAGTTCGTGGCGCACTGTCCCACTCCACTTATACTTGTACCTATCGTTTCTCAATATGGTTACTCTGTAGGAGAATACATTACCCCTCCCCCCAATGATTATGTCATGAATGCATAGCTACGCGATCGTGTCTTTACATATTTGTTTTAAAGATTCGAAAATCGCTGAGGGGACGATTTGAAAAATCTGCTATCTGATCAAAATTTCTGCTCAAAATCTAAATATCATCAGGTTTTTAATTAAATTTTATTGTGTAAAATGGGAAAGAATGATACGCAACTAAAATCATTAAGTTGCAGCTGAAAAAAGCGATAGTGTTGAGTCTCTGAAAGTGCTTCTACTAAAACAAAAATTTATGTCATTAAGGTTATTTTATTACATCAAGACTTTTGAACAGTATTACCAGCTGCGATAAATTAGTTATCGAAACCCTAGTAACTGTTAGTTCACTTAGAATTAGAGGTATTGATATCTGCTTTGCTTATGTGCGTGCTCATCATGGTTCTACGGAAATGAAAGAGCTGATTTCTTAGCTAAAGATGCCTTAAATTTACCCATTGATATTAACATTAGCATTCCGAAGAGTTATTGGAAGTCCTTTCATTATAAAAAGCTTTTAGCTATGTGGAATGAGGAATACATTTCATCTTGTAATGCGGAAGTCACCAAAAAGTTCCTTCCTTCTATTTACCATAGACTGAATTCCGAGTCTTTCCTCTCGTTAAATTTTAAAGTGTCTCAGTTTTTATCTGGTCACGGTAAATTTGCAAGTTATCTGTTTCGTTTTAATCTACGATCAAACAATTTATGTGAATGTTCAAAAAGAGTTCCTCAGGATGTGGAACATTTGATTTTTCTCGTGCCCTACATTTGATGGCCCTAGATTATGCTTACAGAGCGATTTGAAAATGTTCCGAGTGACTTGGCCAGTGAACTTATCTGTTTTCGTGAAGTCCAGACTGCTGTTCTCTGCTTTTGTTCGCTTTATTTATGCATGTAAAATTTTAATGTTTATTTATACATGTAACCTTTAATGTTCTAGTTAACTTACTTCTGCAAGCCCCGTGTTGTACATATGTGGTGCACGGGGAGTCTGTATGTTCTCAAAGGAAAAAAAATATTACTGTCATATATATTATCGACATTGTGCCAAAATTACTTATCTATAAAATCTTAGTTTTCAGGGACTAACTTCTAAAATCAGAAATGCCAGAGCTCTACAGAAGGCCGTCTAAAAATATTTTATTAGAATAGTGAGTTTTTAGAATTGAATAACAAGATAAAATTTAATGAATTGAATTGAATTAATGACAAATAATTATATAATAAATTAAAATACAAGGCTTCCGATTGAATAAAGTTTTCATTTAAAAATTAAGAATTTCGGGAACCAGGTTTTGGTGGGTTCCTCTGAATTTAAGCCCTTGTTTTGACAAGAACATATTCAGTTTTCAGAAAAATCTGCTTATAGCTTTTGCATAATTATGCATCTACCTTTCTTAACGTAGTTTAAAACATCGAAAACCGACGTAAAATTATTTATATAATGAAAAACAGCGAAACCGCATACTCATGGTTTTGGCCGATGCCGGCTGTCTTACAAAATTGCAGTATATCTTCAATTCAGGTCATAGATCTGGTTTATCTTAGTAGTGCAATCTATATAGCCATTCTATGTACTTAGGAATGATTTCATTTGCATTTGTACATTTTTTGACCAGTGAACTGAACGACTTTCTGTTTGATGCAAATTCCATACAATATCTTTTGTTATCTTTATGCAAATGAATGAATAAATGCTGTCTTGTTCCGATTATCAGTCTTGCTTTCTAAAGTACATGATCGTTGTTACAGGCCTAATGACTTTCTATTTCATATAAGTTTCTTTTATTATCTTTATGCAAATGAATGAAAAAATGTCTTGTTTTGATTATTAATCTCGCTTTCTAAAGTGTATCATCATTGTTACAGGCAAGATGACTCTGTTTGATACAAATTCCATAATATACATTTTACTATCTTATGAAAATGAACGAGCAAATGTAGTCTTGTTTCGATTATCAATTTTGCTTTTTAAAGTATATCGTTATTGTTACAGGCCAGAAGAAGTTGCCAAAGCTATGCTTCAGCTTCTACACGATGATAAAAATGGTGCTCTACTGAGAGTGGATGCAGACGGAATGAGATACGTTTAGTGGCACTGGAAAATTAGAATATGTGTACGTGTACATGGATACATTTATATGCGTTTCTCAGTGGAATTAAATGCATACAAACCCTATTTGGAAGTGAAACGACAGTTGAATGAAGTTTTATAATGAAGTGAAGATTTTACGAACGACTTTTATGAATCAATGATACGACATTATGTAAAAACATTCAAGTACCTAATTGCGTCAAAATCGTTATGTGATTGATTATTTTTAAAATCTGCAGATTTTTATTATGAAATTTTTTTATGCTGTAATATTCTATGTTCGTAATCTTCATAATATAATATTAATATACCTTGTCCAATAAACTACTTTTTTATAGCAAAGCTAGCTATTTTTTTTAAACAAACATTTAAACAATGACTATACAATGCCTTCACCTGTTTTGCCATAATCACAACCAGCCCTAGGTATTTTGCCGAAGCGTGCAATAGCAAAATTTTGCGCGCACTGATCAGTTGACTAGAGGGAAGAACTAGGAACGCTAGTTCCCTCTACAATGTTTTTAATTTTTTTTCTCTGCTGCAAATTAATAATTTTTTGAAATTTTTAAAAGAATGATTGCTGACTGTTGCTTACACAGTATAATAATTTTAATCAATAATTTATTTAATTTCTACATCAGCGAGTGCTTTTTTTAGTAAAAAAAAATTAAAATATAAGCTTACTTCTTATGTTACATATTCGTTATAATTTAATAAAAAATATTTAGAATAAATAATGATGAAAATAATTTTTGTAACTAATAGTAGTTAGTTATTAATTAATTATGATTGGAATATTACGTTAATCTGATTACATCAATCGCTAGATTATGCTAATCCATTAAAAGATTAGGCTAAAGTCCTGTAAACGTCTTCCCTGCTTAAAACAATTGTTCCATGAAAATCTACTTCAAAATTAACACATAGCGTTATTATAAATCTAAAATTAAAACTATAAAAAATATCAGTTCAAAATGTATAATTTTTTTAACCAAAAGTAAGCAATATCGCTAGTAAAACTAATGAGTGAAATTAATAACATTGGAATAATAATTAGGGATGAGAAACTGAAATTCTCGAATCTCGCGAATCTTAACAAAAATATTCAAGTTTCGAATATTCAAATCTTCAGGTGTTTTTGTCGAGTCTTTCAAATCCAAGCTTTAAAAAAAAATTAAAATTCAACACATGGAAAGCATAGTGTTATTTAAAATTACTAATAGTATATCGCTTAAGTGTCTTACTCCTTTATCCCTGTTCCATCATAACCCTTGTAGAATTTTTATACAGCACGGCAATTGAGATGGGACAGCTGGTTAGCAATTTTGTGCAGTCTTTTAGAAAAATAAATGGATTAAGGATAATAGTACCTTTTTTTTTTTTTTTTTTTTTTTTTTTTTTTTTTTTTTTTTTTTTTTTTTTTTTTTATCAGGGTTTCAACTTTCAGTGCGAAAAAAGATCAGCGGCAGCTTTAAGTTTTGTGAACCATTACAGTCGAACATTTCTGCAGTTTCAGTGTTGTGATAAGTGCTAACAACATCTTCGTATTCTCATAAGGAGAAAAAATTACTACAAAATAATAATAATAATAATAATAATAATAATAAATAAAATCTGAAAGGTTCCAAATTTTAAATTACCCCCAAAGAGGCATTTTTTTAACATTTTGTCTTTTACCTTTATTTATTAAATATCATGTTCTTCGCACTTAAACCATAAAATTCAGTTCAACAGCAATATCGCAAAATAGTTTTAAATTGAGCCTATCTTTTGAATTTCCGATACGCAGTCTCATGCGCTGGAGATAAAAATATTTTTTCTGTACAACGTTGCCATGGCTCGCTTTGAAATCCTTGATTTTAAGAAATTCGTTAAAGATTTACAAAATAGGAAATCCATAATAAACAAATTCCAAATTTGGGCTTCCACATGCCCATATTTTCAGTAGGATTACGTCATTCAAAATTCGATGGCCTATGTACCGTTTTTTTATCACAATGCGAGAAATATACATACATTTATGCAGACTTTTCATTATTTAATTTCTTAAAATATAAGGCAGTACTCTTAACATTTGGTGGCAACAATTTGAAAAGTGAAACAGACATTTATAGTGATTCAACGTAAAATCGCAAAACGAAAACAACAGTCCTTTCAGGGACAAAGCTCTTTTTTCGTTCTCGGTGGGGCAGTTTGTCTGAGCGGAAGGAAAAAGAAAGGAGATTGGACTTGTTCCTTGCTGTGTTTCTATTACTCGTTAAAGAAGCTAAATTAGAATGCTTTGAGAGGCCTAAATGGAAAGACGCATTCGTGCGTCTGTAGAGATGATTTTCTTCTGCAATAAGCCTACCAGCGGCTCAGTGGTAAAGACGGTTAACGCTGGTAGTTCTGTCCGAAGTTCGAATCCTGCGAAAGGGCTGGCTGCATGGGCGTTTTCGTGGTTTTCCCCATGTGTAACGTGTATACGAGCCAGTTTCCCTTAGAAAGTCCTCCACGAAGGCATCCCTCCCTTTAGGCAGATAGCCCTCGTGTGCTTTGGCATAATTGAATAATACCAATACCAATCCTTCTGAAATAAAAATAGGGCAAAAGGTCGGGGTTAGAATAATAGATCTAAGACAGCTGATTACAGGTCTTATGAAGCAGAAAATCTCTACGATTTCAAAGCGAGCAATGGCAAAGTTGTACAGAAAAAACATTTTTATGTCACTTGACTGAGGCTTGAGGAGAAACGAGAAGAAGAATATAATTAGGAAGGAAGAAGATTAGAAACAGGATAGAATTAGGAGGGAAGAAGAAGAGAGGAAGGTTAGAAATAGGAGAGAAGATTAGAGGCAGGATTAGAATTAGAAGGGAAGAAGAAGAGAGATAGGATTGAATTAGGATGGAAGAAGAAGAAAGGCAGGATATAATTAAGCGAGAAGAAAAAGAACGCGAAATAACCAAATTCAAACTGCTGGCCGCTAAAGGAAATTATTTGATGTGTAAAGCCCCGTTTCCATTAGCGCGTAGCGTCAATGGGAGAAATGCATACGCAGACGGACGACTGTTTACACTAGTTTTAGTCCTGACAATCGATATAACCTAATGACTCCACATATGTTTAAAAACTATTCAAAGCTAAAATATTTTTTTTCCAAGCTAAATGAATGCGATAATTTTTACGATAAATTTTTCAGAAATCATGAACGAAATTAACGATGTTAGCAAGTGATATGTACAATTTAAATCTTAACACGTATGTTTAAATTTTCTTAATCTTACTTTTCTCTCACATTTTCAGTTAATATATTGTTTCATTTGTATTTTCACGTACTGAAGTTCATTTTTTTAAATGTGCTAATCTAATATTTACCCGTTTTCTGCTCCTAGTATCTTGCTTCCCTTCCCTACATATGTGACTCTATCTTTCTAAAAGTATTCCTCCACCTCTAAATTTGGTTATGTGCCTTGTTTTTTTTTTTTTTTTTTTTTTTTTTTTCTGTATTCCAATTAACATTCAAGGATTAACTGGAAAACAATTACAACGCTCCACCGCTCCACTCACCTATTCCTGACGTTTCATCTTCTCCTCCGCAGCAGCAGCTAGTAGCTCCGTTTCTGACAGCAGTTCGCCAGCTACACAGATTGTATATTTTTCGGTAATAACTAACTCGTTTGAAAATGTAAAGGCTTCTCACGGCAACTTGAGAAAAATATTTTTTTCATGCCTCATCTTAACATTGATGATATGGACATTTAAACGCTACGTAACTGCTTACTTTTTATACACCGGATGAGACTATCTGTCTAGTTACGTGCTTCTAAGCGACCCCGTCGCCTAAGCCTTGAATCTTTTCCAAGTGTTTCATCATGTTTTATAACTTAAAAGCCAGGCTTTTGTTTTTATGTTTTGTGTATTGTTTACGTACTACAAGCATTTACAAATAATATAAGCTGTATTATTTACACTTCTTGACTATCAAATTGCATCTGAAAATAATAATAGTCACCTGTGTCATTAAATAATGAAGAATCTGGATGTATGTATGTATCATTCTTACATAACGGAAAAACAGCAACACCTAGTACCATTAGATTTTGAACAGACATAGTTGTCTTCCCGAACATGTGCTCTACGAATTTGTGCATTTCCATTTTGTATTGTCTCTGCTCAAAATGAAATATTTTTATCTCTCACACGGGAGTGTGTTGGCATCCGGCAAAGCGTTTAATCTGCTTGTTGTTGATTAAAAAACAAAGTGATTTAAGAGCAATAAGCATAGTATTTCATTTCTCTTATTGTTAATTCTAATTGGACCTGCGAAATGTTAGATGCATCCGTGAAATTACACTAACCGCACTCATTAAAATCACTATACCTTTTTTGTTTCTTTTCATTTTTCTGTACGAAGTAAAGGAAGTGTTATCGAAGAACGTTTCGTATATTATATTTCAACAGAAATGTCCACTTGGACTTTGAACTTTTTTTTTCTCGTGATATCTGTACATATGAACAAAATAAAGGACTTTTTTCCTCAAAATGGATTGTAAAATAGGTTTAAAAATCGATTTTTTTTCTAGCGTGTGTTGTAACTGACATAACTCAATCGGCAGTACCAAAAGTATATGTATAAAACTGTGTAAATGAAAATTATAATTTAAACTAACGGTAACCCTTTAATTCTCCCTCTCTATCTAAAAATCGTAATAGCTTCTCTAGATTGCGTCATTTCTAGATCAATCCACCTTGCATGGCCTGCGCAACGCTGATGACGTAGTTATCTCGGAACCTAAACTCTGAGAACTGAAACCTTTCGAATTTAAATCAAAACATTTCTCTAACAGACTGCTAGATTGGATAAATGCACAGTTAGCTTGCAGCTGTGTTGCCTCTTGAACACTATTTCATTTTCGCTGTGCTTTGACGCGCTGCTAACTACTTCGTTATTTAAAATATGATACTCAATATAAAATTGTGGTGTGGGTATTGCGTTCATGGTCATGTGTGATAAAAAAATAGTGTCTATAATTAGTTCGTGTCCAGCATTAAAGATTATGTTCAGTTCGTCTACAAGTCGCTACTGTCTACAAGTCTCTCCTTCGAGTGTCATATTTAGGGCCCACCAGCGGCCGAGCGGTAAAGTCGCTGAACACTGGTAGTTCGGTCTGAGGTTCGAATCCGCGAACGGGCTGGCTGCATGGGTGTTTTCATGGTTTTCCCCATGTGTAACGTGTATACGAGCCAGTTTCCCTTAGAAAGTCCTCCGCGAAGGCATCCCTCCCCTTAGGCAGATAGCCCTCGAGGCTTTGCCGTAATTAAATAACCTAACCTAACCTAACCGAGTGTCATATTT